CCGGCTAATTTTTGATTTATTGTAGAGATGAGGTCTCTCCAAGTTGCCCAGGCGGGTCTCCAAACCCACGGGCTCAGGCATTCCACTCCCCTCAGCCTCCCAAGGCACAGAATTACAGGCTGAGCCACCGAGCCTGACTCTTAGATCTTTGTAACATGTGAAACAGTCACCAATATGGATTGCAGGTTCACTGATACATGTTGTGCAATAGTAATTTGATTGCCATGTTTCACCTGGTGTTTTTTTATTCAATCAGACGATGCAGTCTTGTTTTCTTCCTCTCACGTTAATAATAGGTAATTCGCCGGGCTCGGTGGCTCAGCCTGTAATCCCGTGCCTTTGGGAGGCTGAGGTGAGTGGATTGCCTGAGCCCGCGGGTTTGAGACCCGCCTGGGCAGGCGAGATCTCATCTCCACAATAAATCAAAAAATCAGCTGGGTGTGGTAGCGCATGCCTGTAATTCCGGCTACTTGGAAGGCTGAGGCGGAAGGATCACCGGAGCCCAGCAGTTCGAGACTGCGGTGGCCGGGAGCGGCCACTGCACTCCAGTCTGGGCGACAGAGTGAGACTCCAATTCAAAAAAAAAAAAAATGAAATTCATTGTTCAGTTTGTTGTTCAAAGATATGGAAAGATGCACTCATGACTCCTGAAAACCACTTCTCAACTAGTTGATCATATCTCAATATATATTCTATCTCTTTTTTGCTTTTTTGTGCAACTCGAATGGAAAACTTTAAGGAAACATACACTTTTGAAAAATTTGCACTGGCATAAATTTGTCCTGTATAATCACCAGCAATCTATTTATGTCCCCTGAGATGGGACATCTGAGTGGTTTACTAGATTTATGATGTCCCCTCAGAGGGGACATCTGAGTACAAAGGATTAATATTGCTAGTGTAATAACCTTGGTTTTTTTCATTGGGGCTTTATTTTAGTGACCGATTTTTTCATTTGGGGCTTTATTTTAGTGACCGATTTGCACGGTTCTTTAAAATGGTAAAATAGCAAGTTTTTATTTGTTGTCTTTTTGGGAAGATTCATGCAAATATTTATTGAACTCCTGCTGTGTATAAATAGTAGTTTTGATTAAGAAAAGTGGACCCTGATGCAAAGTGTAATATAGAATTTCTTACTAATTTTTTTCTCCACTTGGAGAGGAAAATATACGATTATTGACTTAAAAGCTGGTGTTTGTACCTCCAAGGTGGACATCCCCACAGTTGGACAGCCATTTCAAGGGAGTGTTTGAATCTTTTAAATGAGATGACTCAGAAACTGGTCCTCCACCAAGAAGCTGCTGCTACGAATGGAAGAGTGTCTTCATCTTACCCAGTGGAACCCAGGAAATTGAATTCTCCAGGTAACTCCTAGTACTACTAAGAGCAGAAAGACTTACATCTTATTTCGTATGTATTTTTAGAATACATTTTCTTGAGACAAGAAAAAGACCTGAGGGTCATTGTAGACTAAAAAAAGTAAGTCCAAAGCATCATGTTGTACTCTGTCATAAGTATATATAATTTTTCATTAATCAGTTAAAAAAATTTAAGTTCATTGTAGTGGTGGTGTTGAAAGTGCTACCAAAACGATGGCTATCAAATAGGAGACTTGAGCATACTCCATTACCAAGCCAGGTGAATTTTTACAGATAATGTTGGATGCTGTTCTGGTTGCAGTATTTCATAGACAAAAGGTTGCTGGTCCAGAGAAGAGCCTCTGAAATGCTTGAGTGGTTTAGGGTGGGGCATCACAGTCATTGTTTCGTGATAACCTAATATAATGTTAGGACCCCTCTGTTTGGAAGATGAAAGCTGAGAGGAAGGAGTACAGGTGGAGGAACCTGAGCTGTTTTACCACATCCCTCAGGTGGAAGCTGCCTATGAATGTACAACTAATAAAAGGACTTCATGTTCAGATGCCTTTTGGAGCCAGGCATGTAATGAAAATGGGTAAAACTGACTGGTGAGGTGAGGACAGTAGTGAATCCAAGAGCATAGGCTTCTTCTGAAGGGGGAAGCTGGGGGTTGACTTCACTCTGTTGTTCCATGTGGACATATGGATGCAGTGTCTGAGCCTCTGGTCTTTCTTTTTTTGGAGTTGGTGTCTCACTCCATTGCCCCGACTGGAGTACAGTGGCATGCACCCTGGCCACTGCAGCCTCAACCTGCTGGGCTCTGGTGATCCTTCTGCCCCAGCCTTCCAGGTAGCCGGAACTATAGGCATGTGCTACCATGCCCAGCTAATTTTTTATTTTTTGTAGAGACGAGGGTGCACCAAGTTGCCCTGGTGGGTCTTGAACCTTTGGGCTCAGGTAATCCACTTACCTTGGCCTCCCAAAGTGCTGGGATTACAGGCTGAGCCACTGAGCCTGGGGCTTTTTTTTCTTTTTAAGAGAAGCCTGCAATCTAAAAAACTTCAGAGTAAACCTTCCAGTTTTTAAACTTTGGCAACTAATCTTGATATTTAAAAATCACTATATGGACTAAAGCAAACTCATATATGGTTTTGAAGTCATTAATTTGGAGGGGTCCTGGTCCCAGAACAAATCACAAATGAAAAATGATTTAAGTAAGTTCACAAATGTCAGCTTTTAAAAGATTTGAGAGTATTTCAGGTGTTCAGCAAACTGATTGCCTACCACATACCAAGCAGTGTGCTAGAAGCCAGGGAATCACAGATGAAAAAACACTCTGGGAACCAACCTTTTAATGGAAGGCACACAAATAATGAAAGACAGTATAACTGCTAAATGAAAATCTGTCAAAAAGGAGTGTGATTGGGTAGTACAATGTTTGATAATGAAATGAGGCCTCATATGTTACCAAAAAAAGTTTAGATTTTATCCTGTAGGAATATGGAGCCATTGGATAATTTTTTTTGCCCTTAAGAGACAAGATCTCATTCTGTTTCCAAGACTAGAGTGTGTAGTGGCACAATCATAGCTCGCTGTAGCCTTGGAATTCCTGGGTTCAAGTGATCCTCATGCCTCATCCTCCCAAGTAGCTGGGACTACAGGCATGCGCCACCCTGCCTGGCTAATTTATTTTATTTTATTTTATTTATTTATTATTATTATTTTTTTGAGTTGGAGTCTCACTCTGTCGCCCAGACTGGAGTGCAGTGGCGGCTCCCGGCCACCGCAGCCTCGATCTGCTGGGCTCCTCTACCTGCTGGGATCCTTCCGCCTCAGCCTTCCGAGTAGCCAGAATTATAGGCATGTGCTACCACGCCTGGCTGATTTTTTGATTTATTGTAGAGATAAGGTCTCGCTGCCCAGGCAGGTCTTGAACCCGCAGGCTCAGGCAATCCATTCACCTCAGCCTCCCAAAGGCGCGGGATTACAGGCTGAGCCACCGAGCCTGGCTTTATTTTATTTTTTTAGTGATGTGGTCTTGCTGTGTTGCACAGGCTTATCTTGAACTTCTGGCCTCAAGCAATCCTTCCCACTCGGCCTAGGATTAGAGATGTGAACTACCATGCCCAGCCCATTGGAAAATTTTGAATAGACTAGTTATATCAAATTAGCATGTTAGGAGGATCATTGTGATCTTGGGTTGGGTAGATTATGAGTCTGACCAAATACAAAGCATTTGTTACTTTAAATTTTTGTCATATCCCGTCACTCAGCCAATATTTGCCTCAATTTTGAGGAATAGTTGCAAAACTCTTAAAAACTCTAGTCTTAATTTTTAAATTGATTCTTCAAAGATTTCTAGTTTCCACTAACCCTTAAAAAGTCATGTCATGAAAATTTGGTACTTGGGATGTTTAATTTCTTGTGGTTTTATGAAGATGGAATTCTAATGCAATTTATTTGTCTTTGTGGCTCACACTACAGTGACAGGAAAAGTTCCTTTGTTTTTATATAACAAACTTTTTTTGGTTTTGAGTTGGTGTCTCACTCTGTTGCCCAGGCTGGAGTGCAGTGGCATGCTCATAGCTACTGCAGCCTCGACCTGCTGGATTCAGGTGATCCTTCTGCCTCAGCCTTCCAAGTAGCTGGAGCTATAGGCATGTGCCACCATGCCCAGCTAATTTTTTTATTTATTGTGGAGATGAGGTCTCGCCAAATTACTCAGGCTGGTCTCAAACCTGTGGGCTCAGGCAGTCCTCCACCTTGACCTCCCAAAGTGCTGGAATTACAGACTGAGCCACCGAGTCCAGCCAACAAACTCTTTAAAGAAACTGTTTACAGATCATATTTATAGGGTTAGACTTAAAGATATCTTGGGCAGCCGGGCTCGGTGGCTCAGCCTATAATCCCGCTCCTTTGGGAGGCCGAGGTGAGTGGATTGCCTGAGACCGCGGGTTTGAGACCTGCCTGGGCAACTTGGCAAGACCTCATCTTTACAGTAAATCAAAAATCAGCTG